CACAAGATGCACAGGGACCTTCTGCAGCAATTTCACCTGATGCCCTGGGGCTTGAGCACACCATGTACAAGAAGAGACCAAGACAACCAGGTTGGTTCAGCCTTAAGAAAAGGAAGCAAATAGCAAAAAATCTTACTGGTGTCTTCAGCTACCAATCTGGAAGATGCAGAGCAGGCAGAGCTAGGGTCTTCTCAGAGGTGTGATGCGACAGGACAAGAGGCAACACATACATGCAGCTGCATGGGACATTCTTCTTAAATAGCTGAGAAAAAGCTCTCGCCTCATGGGTGGTCAGAGTGGAATGGGGACCAGAGTCATGGAACCTTTATCTCTGTAGACATTTAAACCTCAAATGGACAAGGCCACAGAAACATGATCTAGCTAGACCAGCTCTCAGCAGGAGGTTACAGCAGAGACCTCCAAAGACTTCTTCCAACCCCAGTTATTTTATATTTCTACACAGCTACCATTGGCCAAAGGCAGAGGCAACAAATAGAGATTTGATCTTCCCTAATACTGCAGTTTTATGTGATCTATGTTTAGCATAGTGATAAACTATAAGTCATAGTTTAAAATCTCAGAAACAAAGATGGAACAACCAACCAGTTCGAATTTAATGCTTAGATGCAATAAGCTTGAAGAAACAGCTTTTGATCCTCTATGGAAAGGTATAGAACTATTGATAGATTAAATCCTTGTCATCCAAGATCCCCAAAGCTAGGTACAGCAGGGAAATGTTTCTCCTTTCACCCTACATTTTGACATTCATTTACATGCTAGCACATCGAGTGATATCAAGTACCTCACCGGGAAGCCGCCTTGCTAACACAGATGAAAAGCTCTAACATCAATTTAACACCCCCAGTGGTCAGTGAAAAGTGTTCCACACCACACTGTATGAAAGCTTAGGTCAGATGCTCTCACTTGCTTAGATACAGCAAGATACTGTGCCTCAAGTTTTATTTTACTGCTGGCATTTGCCAACTGAAAAAGGGAAAAAAAATGTGGAAGTTAACTCCGAATGACAGTTCTAAGTCAGTACACAAGACATATCTAGAACATGCAAAACCAAGTTTACTCTCCCTAAAACCTGAAGCCAGACCATGACATTGATTGCAGGAGCACTGTAAAGGCTTTGGCTGTTACTCAACTATTTCTCTCCTCTTACAAAGCCTTAATATGTCTCTGAAAACACACTCCTGAAACAAGCTGTGGCCAACAGTAACATGTCTAAAACACAACGTGAAAATTAAATACAGGGTGACCAAATTGACCTTTCTCAACCTGCTCTGGAGCCCCATGTATCCCACAGGTATTTTCATCCTTGAGTCACTGGGCAGAGCTTAATGCAAGGTGCTGCTCCCATCAGTGGATAAAAATGACTGGATATGCTACAGGGGACAGTGTTAATGGTACAGGAGAGGGAAGAATATGAGAAGAAAAAGGAGTTGAAAAGAATATATGAGCTAATAATGACCTTCAATTCAGTGCTCAACACTGTGTTGTGTTATCACTAAATCAGATTAAATTGATCTCACTGTAAAGAGCTTCCTGTATCACAAGAGCCAAGGTCAAGACAAAACAATAGCTAAGGAATTCCAGTGGAACAGAACCAAGAACAACTGCATTCAGCTTTTGCAAACCAAGGCAACAAAAGTTGCTATAAATTGACCGCATCAAAGTACAATTACTCTTTGTCATTGCTCAAGAAGAAAAAAAAAAAAAAATCGATAGGGAACTGTGAAAATTGAATTCACACATTAAGAACTCAGTTTTAAAGTTTTCCCAGGTCTAAGTTACAGCAAGTTAAATATTCAACAAGCCTTGACCTTTGTTATACAGGCAGCAGCAGATGCAGTGAAACCTCCTACTCCTCTCCCCCTCAAACCTCTCAGTTAATATAATTAACTGAGGACATGAGATGCAACTTTATTTAGACAATAGAAAGAAGTTAGGAGATCAATTTAAAAATAATCTAAGTACTGCATATAACCATTAAGGTAATATTCTCTTTCTAGGTGAAGGCTTAATTCTGCCACCACATTAATCTTCATTCCTCTGTGGTGCTCAGAACTGAAAGCCTGGGGAATCAGGACTCATATGTAAAAAGAGTGGTGCTGTCTTCCAGACTGAGCAGTGTGTTGAAAGAATTAGCCTGGAGGCCTGAAGCAAGATGTCCCCATCTCATGTGTTCCAGCTAAGGACCACATTTTTCCAGAGCTTTCAACAGGATTTAGTAAGAACTGTTATTCTACCTAGCATCAGGCAATGATACAGGCAAATCTACAAGGAAAAAAAAAATAAAATCAAGTGGCACAGCTGCTTCCTACGGTAGCAGGGGGATGCAGCAGACTGATAAAGCACAAATCCCCCGATATGATGAACTGACAAGTTCCAGGCACCTCAAGCAGAATGGGTGAACAGATCAAAGATGTTTGCTTATCCTCAACTCACATTTTAACCAGCAGGCATTGTGAGCCACAAAAAGAAGAGTGAGAAAGTGTTATTACATTCTAAATACCAAGGCAGCAGATCTATACATGCAACCCGAGGACAGACTTTCAAGAGGTATCTATAAAGCAGCAGCTGGTGTGTGAGAACACCGTGATTCAGCTGATGTATTTCTATGGTGCTGGATGAGTTTCCAGAAGTTTAGGGCCTAATTATTTAGACTTTCTAAGAGAAAAGCAGCAGTAAAGAAAAACCTACAAAACTTTGGCAGCTTCACATCCTGAACAGTATTCTGTTGATTGCTCATCTTGTGCTGACTCACTCAATGTACTGGAAACCCAGACTCCCCTGCTTCAGGAAAGCTCCCTACCCTCAGGGCTGCTTCAGAGGCTGTAACTAAACCAGTAACCACCAGCAGTAATGATTAATCACAGATTAATCACAGATAAACTATGCTGTACTCTCACTAGTGCATTCTTCCTTGAAGTCCATTTTATTGAATTCTGGTTTTGAAAAGGCTACAGAAAACAGAGCTAATCTGTGTGCTTTTCCACTATGCCGCACGTAGCCTTCCTAGCAGGAAAAGTGACAGCTGGAGGCTGGCCTGCTTCAATTACTTTGTGGTCTGCAACAACCCTCCTTCACAAACTCATTTCAAAGTACTAAAATCCAATCTAGTAACTTGTCACTAAAGGCACACACCTAAATTATGAGAGCCTAGCTGCAGATGAATGAACTGTCCTGAATATTTTGTGCGCTTCTAACTGCAGAAAGTAACAGCAGATCACGAGACCAAGAAATTTTTTCCTTCTTTCAGAAATATTTCTCACAAAGCAATTGGCTTGACAATAAAACATGGCTGGGTTTTTATTCAAAAGCAGTGGGACTTGGCTATGGAATAGCATTTGGCAAAGAGAAAGGAAACTTAGAAGGGAACAAGTGATGCCAGCTGTTACCTTGCGGATTTCCTCCCCCTCCCCAAATTCCAGCAGACACTGAATGGTTGTGCCTTACCCACTAATCCCCACAGACACACTGGCAGTATCATTTACTGCACACTAGGGAAATCTTTTTGCAACATGTTTATGCAGTGGGCTCGCCTCTCTGCTCTGCGATAGCATTGTCAGACCGTACAAGACAGCAACCTGACAATAAATCAGTGCAGACAGGGGTATAACCTACCAAAGGCATATCCCAACCCTCTTAAGTCTTACCAAAGCCATAACATTTTCTAAATTCAAAGATCTCTGCTGTGCTGCCAGAAGACACATTAGCTAGGAGGATGGCAAAGAGGTTAGTTGGAGGCTACGCAGAGGTTGATTTCTTTGCCAGCCACACAGTGTCACACGCACCCACTGTTTCACGTGGCTGAAGTGACTCGAATCTGCTACACTCGTAAGACATACTTGTCCTACATGAAGAGCCTGGAATACAGTTTGAGTGAAAGTCTCCTCCTGCTGGCCAACGCAAATGGTCCTCAAGGGAGGAGAGATGGGAGAGGAAGCCCAGCAATGAGAGAAAACCTCCGAATTCCTTTTGGAAAACCTGTTTAAGACCTCCAGTGACTTTAGCCACATGGAAAATAAAAGGCCTCTTTTGCCTTGGTCTCTACACCCCTACAGAATTTGCATTAAACGCTGTACGAACTCTGCTGCCTTTCACCCCAGCTCTCAACTTCCCTCTCAGAAGAATAACACAGGAGCTTTGCTGTTAGCCATGGCAGAGGGTCAGTGACAGAATCCCACCCAGCCCTGGCCTCCTGACCATCATCCATCTATTGAGGACCATGTTACCAACAGGAGGTGAAGGCAGACTGCTTTAGTGCAGAAGACCAACCAATATTTTCCCATGTTCACAAAGACAGTGGCAATGTCTTCACCTACGGTGCTATTTTGAACAGAACTTGATGCTCCAGCACAGGATGTGACGAATCAAATGCACACAGAACCTTTGGGAGACACCCTTCCCCATGTGATCCTCAGTCATTAAGATACTTTGGCTGCTGTCCAGAGCAAGCGATGAATAATTGTAAGAAATCATTGAAGGTACAAACCCCTTTGTTTTTAATATCTTTACAGGAACCAAATTAATACAGTTCCTCTGTCATCTTATTCTCCCTCAGAGGGAATGGAGAGAAATTGCATCTGGAAATCCAGGTGGTTGAGCTCTGTAACTCTTCCTCCTGAATCCCCACATAAATAAACATTCGTTCATATTCAGAATTTTTCTGTTTTAAAAAACAAAATAATTTGCTTTTTTCTTTAAGCTTGGTACCACACTTTAATGCTGCTGTTGTGAGATACTGCACCCATCTTTCAGCATTTGATTGCCTTAGGTGGCCTTTTGAAAATGGTCCTATGGTTCAAAGCTCTGAGAAGCACAATATTAAGGCATAGAAAATGAGGAGTTTTCTTTCCAGGGAGCAGATTGTATTTGTGTTACATTCCTTTAGATGCTGAACTGCAAATCCCATCCCCTTGGAGCCAAAAGGGGAAAAGACAGTTAAAAATATCCCAGCAGTCATACAATCAGTTGTCTGTATTTTTGTGAATCTTTCAAAAAAAAAAAAAAAAAAAAGAAGGAAAAAATACCCCATAGGTAAAGACAGAACAGAGTTCCAGGTATGGGTTCTTGGGAGGGGTTTTCCATTCTTTTTGGCACCTTGTGATTCTAACAGCTGTTGACCTCCCATTTAAAAAAATCTGACTTTAAGAAGAGCTCTTTATCCGCTATGTTTTGAGCTGTTGCAGTTGTGGTTTCTTTTCTCTGAAAGCTGCTTTAGGGGCTGCTGCTATCCCATGCCCACCCCACATGACTCCAGCTCCTCCCACTGGTTCTTCATTCACTGGTTGCCTGTCCTTGTGGCGTTGTAGATGTGATGACTCCAGTTTGGGCTGGGACTGCTCCACTAGACTCTTCTATCCGGGGTCGTTTGACTTCAGGTTCACTGGAAGAGGCTGCTGCTGTCTCTTCGGTCCCTGTCTCACATACCCGGCTGACTACAACAGGAGTGGATGAGCTGGCCTGGGCTGCGAGAAGCTGCAATGGATTTGTAAGAGCTGGGAAGAAGGACAAGAGAGAGAAAGAATTAATGCAATGAAGTAGCACAAGTGTTTGCTATTCCAGAAAGCAAGAAAACAAAACACCACAGTCAAATGCAACAGCTGGCACATATTCAAGTGTTTTCAAGCCTATTTTGAAGGGCCTGCTAGCCTTGTCTCTCCCTCTCCCCTGCCAACCTCAGCTTTGTGCAAGTTTGATAAACTGCTAATAACTCCTTTCACAGAACTTCCTTCTTCCTACCTGTTGTCAAATGAGGCATTGCCAGCTAAGCATTCATCTCCAGAAAGGGAGGATCAATCCCCTGTTAAAAATCACACTACACCTTCTCTTTGAGAGGTAGTTCTCTGGCCACCTGCAAGCAGAACTTCTTGCAAGCTACAACATCTGTGTGCTGTGCCTTCGATTTACAGGGCTCTCTCTAGCCCTGCTTGTACAGTAAGTACAGCCAGTCTGTTGGGAAACTAGATTAGAATCCAAGTATGGGGTGTTCTGACAGCTCACTTGAAAAAAGGGCAGGAAAGAGCTTACCCCAGACAACCAAATGCATTCCCATCAGAACGCAGGAATTTCTGGCTCCCAATCTTGTATTCCAATACTGACCAAATACCTCACCCTCTCATTAATAAAAACGGTGAGAAAAAAAGATGATTTAAGTAGTAACCCTCCATAAAAATGTCTATAATTCCTAGTTCCAGACAGAGAATGTGCTTACACATTGGCTTTGGCACACAACACTGCTTGGAAAACAGAACACATGCAGTTTTTGGACTCTGCATCAATCGGAGAGGCAGCCAAAGGGGACTCAGGAGACAGCACATCCTCTGCCCTCCAGACTGATTTGCAAAGGATGGAATGACAGAACATTAGTAGTGTGTTCACTAACTGCATCAAAAAAGAAGCCCTAGGATAAATAAACAAAGCAAACAGAACAAAGTCCCTCAAAGGCCAGCAATTTCTACCAAGGCATGGGAAGGCGGCTGCAGAGTACCAAGAGGATGAAGGAAAAAAAAAAAATAGGGTAAGGATGAGGGCAGTCGCTGATTACAGTTCAGTGACTCAGAGAAACTAAACCATGCAGTTGAAGAGAAGTTAACTTCATACAGACAAGAGGTCAAGGACTCAGGCTCCATTTTGTCAACCAGAAAATTCATTATCACTTACAAAAAAACCCCCTAAGATGCACCTGGAACACTTTCCAATTCAATGAGAGAGCTAGAAAAATTTTAGTGAGATTAGAATATCTTAACATAAAAATGTTCAGTAAAAACCTGTCTGATTCTACATTAGGCAAACACTACCTGCTGGGTTAGTAGCAACTCCACCTATCTGATCTTAGTTGCATAAAAACCTTATTGCTATCATTTTTTCATTGCTCCAGTAAGATTCTTGCAATTCCAGTGCAAGCCAGGTGACACTGCCAATAGATGTGGCAGAAAATTCTGTAGAAACATTCCTACTTCACTTCATGAAAGCCATCAAAATCCCACCAGTGCCCTTCATTTCAAACTCCCTGTAAGCACCAGCCTAGGACAGCAGAGGTGCTTAGCATCTCATTGAAAAAGGGAGTAAGAAACCTGAATATTACCATCCCCAGTCATCATCCTTAACTGAACAAAGCCTGAGGTGCTGAGCAAGCAATAAGAGGAGGCTGCCAAGACACAGCTAGTATGGGATTTTAAAAAATCAGGCCTGACAAATGACTGGAACACATCCTGCATATAAAAAAAAAATCCTACATTCGTTAACCTGATGAAATAGATCTTATTTCTCTCAGGCTCTAAGACCTTAAGATGGGAAAGTATGTTATTTTCTTAATACTCTATGGAGTCATATTTCACAAGATCTAAAGAGCACCATGGAAATTTTATTATTTGGCATGCTGAAAGCAAAGGCTGTTTGTCAGAGGAAAACAAATGAAAACAGGCTCTACACAAGAATCACTAACACTTTCAACAAGTAACCCTCAAAAGGTAGAGAGTGTAAGTAGTAATAAATGCATAGCCAAGGACAAAGGAAAGACACTGGAATTTTCAGAAGCAACGGTAGATAGCAAAGCTTTTCCACTAGGGAAAGGGAGCAAACAGAGGTGGACAGAAGGGTATCTACCCTGACATTTACAGCCACAAAAGTTAAGGATTGGTAACCTCTGGAATTGGACACATTGAGTAACTTGCATAGCTACGAAGAGAAAACCCTTACAGCTTTACAACCTAAGTGTTAAACTCGGAGAGCAATCAAAAACCAGAAAGCGATGGAAACAGAGCCTACCATAAGCACTGCCGGTGATGCTGTTGGTGGGGACGGCGTGTTTCCCGTTCTGAGTGACTGCCCGCACAGGGAGCTGATGCTGTCCAATGGTCACCGGAGCTGCCTGCTGAAGGATTGTGACTGTCTGTCCTGGAACACCCTGTGCCATTTGACTGGCGACTGTCTGAATAACACGGCTGGCTGTAGGTATCGTGGCAAATGCAATCGTCGGCTTTTCATCCATGCCTGCTTAAGAGTAGGACAGACAATAATCATTTACCACCCTGGCTTAGGAGCAGGCTTTATTCTCATTAACATTTTAGCAGTGATACATATCCCAGGCTTACAAGTGTGAAAATACCTCAGCACCACAAAGCCCCTTGCTTTTGATGTGTCTTACAAGGTTCACAGAGTGAGAACAGAAAGCATTGCTTCTCAGACTGAGGCAGCTTAGTCACAAAATAATAAATTTGAGCTCCAAGGAGCTGAGAGTACTCCTAGAGGCCTAATACTGTGAGAAGTGCCCAGAACTCTTTAGGCAGGATCAGGCTCTACACACACATGCACATTTTCTGCAGGCCGATTCATACAGTATAGTCAGATATGAGAAGGTAATGGTTCACTCACCCTGCTCATTAAGGAAAGAACACTGCAATCAGGGACATAAGAGTAGGGAACAATAGTCCTTCTGAATGCTTATTTTGAAGCGCATCAGAAGGTCAGGGATGAATATCCAAAACCAATGAAGTATTCTCTATTGCACATATACTCTATTGATATTACGAACATTTTTCTCACAGCATAAGCCACTTGGCCAAAAAAAAAAAAATCATCAAGATTATAAACTTGACCCTTTGTCCTAAAAAGGCATCATCTCCTATACTGGCATATTATAGCTGTGATATGGACAGCAGTCACTGCAAATCTCATAGCTTGCTTTGTAATTACAGGCAAATTGGCCTGACTCAATACCACACAGCAGGAGAAGGCATTATGATCTTAAACAATGCCTGGAGCCAAAAGTCTGCAACAGCTTGCTGTCAGGCCTGCACAAAGTTTGATTTACAAGGAGGTCTTCCCACTATTGCAAGCTGTTGCTAACTATGGAAATACAGGAAGAAACCAGCAGGGAGGAAAAAAATAAGAAGAAAAGGAGGAAAGGAGAGCTGAGTTCCTGGATAGAGATACCTGTTTGAGAGCAGTCAACCACTTATCTCGCCTCCCAGGACAAGCAAGGGGTCAACTCAGAGGGTACCTAACAGGTACAGGGCAGGACAGCCTGCTGCTGGGCATGCAGGAGAGGAGAGCCACTCTCCGCTTCCAGGGACTCCGGGGGTCTCAAAGCAGAGAAGGCAGGCAGAAGCACAAACTCAGTCCCGTAAGAAGAGAAGATTTCTCCCATTTTAACATTAGAAGACAACAAGAATAGAGTTAAATGGGACAAGCATTGAGCTGAGACCTGCAGGTAGGCTGATGGAAAGCAGGGAGAGAAAAGGCAAAGAAAGCTGGGAAATTAGGAAGGGAAACTGAGCAATCACAAAAAAACAAAGGGAAGGTGGAGACTAGAAAAGGGTATCAGTAGGAATAAGAGAGGGACAAGAAGGGAAAGGACGGGTGACAGCAAGAACTAGTGAATGAAAGAAGGGAGCAGGTGACAGATAGGCAGCTGCAAGAGTTAGCACTTTAGGAACATGTATGGGATCCAGACAGGAATTTCTAGAGAATGTGAGTGAAACTCAAGCAGGATAACCAGTGCTGAACTAAAAATGCCAGTGGTCCTGCTATTGCTGTAGGAGAAGGTCTTTGTAATTTTTTCCTTTCCCTTAGAGAAGAACCATTGCCCCACTGCCCACATAAAAGCAATTGAAGTAACTAGCCTTGCTGCTGGTACAACACACATCTATCTAGTAACACTAAGCCCTTCTGAAATGATGAGCAGACACGGTCGTGTCTAGATCACAGCAAGGGAACGCTTAACTCGCTAAATCCCCCAAGGCTGGAATTTCCAGCTTAGGAAAAAGAAAAAAAAAAGGCCTTTGTTGTAACTGGTTTTTGAAGATTGCTTTAATGGGATACTGCCTGCACTTCCAGAAGTGCATACTTTCCTCTAGGAATCCAGGCCTGCAGAAGAGAAGGGCTCAACCATTTATTTACAAGGCCATCCTGAAGCAGAGTTTCAGCCTTTCCAAGGCCATCTCTTTTGGCTAGAAAAAGCATACACTTCCATAGCACATCCAGCTGACCAATACACAGGCATAATATTGATATTGTACTTAAAGCACTTCATATTTCTTCAGCCTCCAAAGTCTGTTACATTTGTTCCCCACAGGAGACAACGGAGCACACTTGTCCTGCTCACTGGTGGACACATCAAATGGATAAGCTCTTGGTTTAAGTTTTAACTGGAGAAACAGCTTTTAAGGGCTAAGCACCCAGCGAGAGAAACAACATTTGACCACCCCACCACCCCAAGCCTGCTCAACACTTGTTAGCAGAGTAGCAAGGGAGGTGAAAAGCTACCTCGGTGGTCACCAGCTAAGTCCAACACTGCTCCTGCAGCTTCATGAGCTCCTCCTGCTGTGCCCTGATTTGTGAGGATGTATCCATTTGCAGAGTTTGCAGAGGAGGTCACAACTCGGACCATTGTAACAGTGGGAGCTTGTTGAACTACGTGAATTGCATGACACGAAGGCTGTTGAGAAGTCACTATTGATGCTGGCATGTACGCGACTGGTTTTGCCACCAGAGTAGACGGTCGGGGAGGAACAGCCATAATCACTGGCTGGGCACTGACTGGAGATCCTAAACAGAAGAGAAGCATACATTAATAGGAGAGGCAAAAAGGCCTGCACTCATTTCATCTCTGTGCTTCTAATCTGCAACACTCAGTCCTTCAGCGTTGGTAGGAGTAGGGGGGTAGGGAACCAAAAGTAAAGTTTCAAAAATACCACCTTCAATCTTTTCTTTCCTAACTTATAAAAACCTTACTTGCTGCCTGAGCACATTTCTGTGAACAAAAACCACAATAAGCACAAAAAAAAAGAAAAAAAAAAGAGAAGCCTTACAAAATGAGCTTTGCCTCCCTACCTCACCAGGAACACCCTACACATCAGGCCAGTTACAGCACAGCTGACAAGCAGATATTCACCAGGGCTTAACAAATTACCAAGGCCCTGGCTGCAGCACCAGAATTCTGCATAGCCAAGCTGATCTTATCCAGAAGGCTGGTAAATTGGTGTGAGCAAGCTACACACTACCATGGCTGCTCTGCCATCAGTTCCTTAGAGCCACCTAGTTCAAGGTTAGCTCATGTGTTTCTACACATTCCTTTATCTCCTGCCCCCTCATCCAAAGACTAGTAAGGAAAAAAAATCACCTGAAGCTGCATATGCATCATCAGTCTCTAACAATGAAGTGGAAAGAAGAGACCTAGATCCTCCTGTAACACACCGGCAGAAGCATTCCTGTGGTGTCCTCAGCATGGCACTTGATGCAATTGAACAGTCACCCTCTGTGAAAGAAGAGCTACTCACCAGGTGCACTCTGTGAATACCGATACTCTGGAACTGAGGCTAACTTTGACCCAAAGTCGTGATCATGTGGAATAGGTGAGCCCTCCCGTGACAGGCACTCTGGAGTCTGTAGGCCACTAGAGTGGGGGGACAGCAGGCCAGGGTGAGTAGGGGAGGCAGGAGCACTCCTGAAACACCAGAATGTAGTGTTGGCAAGTGTAGATGCATTTTGACCCGAAGACAGCAGTAGAGACCAAGAATTATCTCCAGTACCAGGTTCTCTAGCAGAAAGACAGCCTTTCTTCCACACTACCCACTATAGTCATGCTGGGAAGAGTTGAAAGCTACACAGTAACCTCACGAACACTCTAGCACCAAATACTGTCACAATATTCTCCTTGCAGAAAGAAACTGGACCCTTCAGAGTATGCTTAACATTTAATTTTAAGACCCACTGCTGATGAAGAAGCTGGAAGTGCCTCATGTTCAGATCAGCTTTATAATTTCCGGCCATTCTCTAAGGATCTCTGTCAGTGTTTGAGAATGACGGGGAGAGAAGGAAAGGGGCAATGTAGATATAAGTACCTGCCCTGCATAAACTTACAGAGCAGTTGCTCCCTCTTTTCCCTGTTGCCTCCCTCCCCCAACCACTTGGTTCCCACCTTTCATCCCACATGGCCAAACACATGAGGAATTAAAACATTTCTTTAGTGACAAAGAAGATTGAGAAGCTGATCAGCTGAAAACCTCTCCTCTTGTTTCCCCCCGTTTTAACAGACAGAAGAGAAGCAAGGTGTGGGCAGACTGTTATATGAAACTGCTCCAGCTAGTGTTGAATTGCAAGTCTTATTCTCACCGCTACAGGGCTCGGAGAAAGCTGTCGTTGCACACAGCTCCTCTTGCAGTTACACCACTGACTGGAGTGGCTGCACAGAAACACCCCCCATTGCTTCACTGCTGACAACCACGATCAACCTGATCTTCCCTATAGGAGAGTGTTTTAAATACCACAAAAGTTATTCCCACTATGATCTAATCCACGTCTAAACACAGCTTTCCTGAAATGAGAGACTGGCATCTGAAAACACTTACTCCAGTGATAACTGCTTTGAATTTCTTTGAAATGATGCCAAACCAGATATGTTATTTGATGCATTTTTGTAGTTTGGTTCTGGATTGTTTCTTTGGTAAACACTATAGAAGTCAGAACAATTTTCAGATTATGCCTCAGGACTATCTAACTATATTACCTCTCAAACTATCAACAGCAGTAAAGTTTGCTCAGTCTACTCCAGGAGCAGTTTCTGTTTATTTTCTTTGTAATGAGTTTGGCACAGAGATTATAGAGGAAGTTGAAGTTACCTGGAGGAGAGAGGCCCAAAAGGCGTTCGGAAGCAGGACACTCCTCTTTGCCTTCGTTTTCTAAATGCTTGCTCTACTAGTTTGACTTCAGAGGCAGGGTCAATTCGCCAAAAGGAGCCCTTTCCAGGTTCCTCCTGGGAGCGTGGGACTTTAATAAAGTAACGGTTCAAGGAGAGGTTATGCCGAATGGAATTCTGCAGGAAGTAGAGGAATGAGATGATTATTTTGCTATGAGGAAGCATATAACAAAACCAAATGGGTTTCGCCACACAGCCTGGAAAAATAAAATCCACACTGCCACAGTCAGTGTTGAAGACAGAAACAAGTCACTCAACTACTCACAGAGCTCCAAAGTCACAGGAGAACTGCAAGAGAAAACCTGGGGAAGTGTGTCAGACCGTCTACTAACCATGCTGAAAGATGGGTTTGCTTGGTACTACACCATCACTTAAATACATCTGGAGCCAGGCAGTGCAGTGACTTTTCTGCAGAAAGCAATGAAAGCAGAGCTTTTTTCGCTGTAAACCACATCAGAACTCTCTCAGAAGACAGGCTTTATTCTAGGCAAGCAGAAAAAAATTGCCTGAGCCTGTGCTAACTGCTTACCTGCCAAACAACCACCAGGGTGCCCAAACATGCCCTAAAGGACACTGCATCTCATGGTAATCATAACGCAAGCCAGCCCACATGCCCTCAGACAGCTGTCTCTGAGAAGAATCCATTATCTATATCGCACTGGTCTAGCACTGCACAGCTCTCCAGATGTTGACAAGACTATTTATCCTTTTCATTGCAAAAGGCCACCTCTTACTGGGTGCAGCACTGTCTTTTGGTCTAGGGGAAAGGCTCAGTAAGCCCAGGTGTGCACAAGCTCATTCCTCTTCCACTTTCAAAACAAAACAAGAACTTTTGTAGCAGCTTTAGATGAGCTCTTCACAAATGAAGGCTTACAATGCCACTGGTAAGGGAGGGGAAAAGACAACTTCACCCTCTGCTGAAACGCAGCTCTCTTTGAAGCAGGACATAGCAACTGGTTCACAAAGCACAGCTCTGCTGAGCAGGTTAAGGCAGGAAGTGAATTCCACAATTAATTAGAACTGCAGGGAAAAGCCAGGGAGGCAGAAATGTATACATTCATTCCAACTGTACTCAAAGTGCACCAAGCAGTACTGCTCCTGCCAGTTGAACACAATGAAATCAGCAGCTGCAAGAGTCTTTCCAGCTGCATTAGTGTATTATATTCAAATGACAACACCCATTTCAGAGGTGCGATGCCAAGAAAAAGTCTGAAAGCAGGTGGAGTTGAGGTTTCTGGAACTTTGAAAGCAGCCCTCAAGTGAACATTTAAGCTTGATTTAGCATGTGTTAACTACATCCAAGCTCTCCTATGAAGCTGGTCAGATTTCCTTTAACACCACAAGGCAGGCACAGATTCAAAGTTCCCCAAGTTCCCATTCTGATTCAAAACTTGCAAACTGTGACTTAGGCAATTCACTTGATACACTGGGAAAACCAAACATCTGTGATTATGATTTAAGGTATTATGATTAAAAACTGGGACCTCAGTTTTAGGCTGGACATCTTCTGTGTGGACAGATCATGTCAAACAAAGACAAGGTGAAGGATTAAGCAAGATTCAGGCAAGTATCTGGGCAGAGGAGTGACTGATAGCAAGGATGTGGAAGAATAAAAAACAAAGATGAAAGATACATGACTTAAGCATTAAAATGGCTTCAGAAACCAGACAGCCCAGCAGTAAAACACTACATTGCTCTAGAAAGTATTTTAAAAAAAAGAAACACAACTAATCACCCACAAACAAACCAGTTAGCTTATGTTAAGCAAATTCACTCTGGGAATAGTCAAAGCAGCTCTATTCCCAGTGCCCCAAATCTTTAATAAATATGCATTTCAAAGCAGATTAAGACCTGTCAAAGTAGTTGAAAAGCTTGTCAGTGTCAAGAACTCACCTGCCAGCCTTTGTCAGCAGTCCTGTAATATGGATAATGCTTGGTAATGTGGGCATAGATCCCACTTAGTGTTAATTGCCTGTCCTGTGCTGAAGATATAGCCTGCACAATTAGCTGAGCATAAGAATACGGTGGCTTTGATTCATCCTAAAGAAAAAAAGAAACCAAACAAATTTAGTCACCAACAAAGAATTCCTACACTAGACCATACCAACAACCCAAACTAAAAAGCACATTGGGGTGTACTTTTTCCAGATGCTGACAGCACCATCACCCTCTTTCCTTTGACTCCTGTTTTATACTGCCACCTCCTTTAGCACAAGCATTTGTGTGCAAACAGGACTATCAGACTGAGCCAGATTAAAGTATCTCCTTCCCTCTCCCCACAAACACACACACCCACCCCCTAACTTTAATGTGATTCCATTCCCTACTGAATTTACCACATGTGCTTACGCCAGCACAAGGAACAGGATCAGGACAAGCAAATTGGAAGCAGAGTGTTAGAGTGTGTAGGGTACATTCACTGCTTTCAGTGTTCATGAAACTAAAGCCTTTAAATCTGCCCAGCTACAACTATGCTTTGTTAGAAAGGTTTCATGCAAGTATGCTATCAGCTCTCCTCCCAGCAACAAGCCCAGTATGAAACTTGATGCTGTCCCTTCCCCTCTCCAGCAGGATTTGTTTCATTCTAGGAACTTTCATTTGTTTGCCAGATCTCATATTCCCAGCTCTTCATATTACTCCAAGCACAGCCCTTCTTGTCTCAAGGGAGAATTCAATCCACAAAAAAAAAAGAAAGCCATCTAGTGTTGTGGCCCTCCACCCAATCCCAAATCAGGTGGTTTTGGATCTAGACCTTTAACTTTGATCTGAAGATCAGCTCACCAAAATTAAGTTTTATCATTATAATTATTTTTTAATCCAAATTCCACTTGCTATGCTCCTCATTTAACACTTGCTTGACAGGCCTTCGTGTTAGTTTTAGTCAGCTACAGATTTCTCATGGCAAGGATCTAGTTTCTTCCCCTTTCTCCAACTGTGTTTTGCAAAATACCATTAATGAAAAGGAGAAAACAAGACTCAGAATTTTAATGTATCCCTTCTTTATGGGTTCTTGATTATCAAACAAGCAAAAAAATTCTTCTCACTAAACCATTTTAGTGAATGACCTGAATACATTTTGGGCAGCTAAGCAAGCAGATTCATCATCTACCACTAATAAGACCCTGGTTTGAAGGCATGGTCTCAAACCCTGGAGGATACTGTATACAGTGCCCTTATGGCCAGTGTATTCTTAGACCCCTTTTAACTATATCTAGCACTGGCAACAGACTGCCAGGTCTTAATAAGCCTCCCAATGAGCACTGCTGGGTAAGTAATGTTTCTCTGAACCTTTGGGCTGTCCCCGCCAGATGCATCTGCCTGCTGTTCTGATGCTGCTTTTGCAGCATACTCTGCTGCCAGCTGCAGATCCGAGGTAATGTTGTGAACAAAACGGTATCCTGAGGATCCAGCACCACGTGGACTGGCCGGGCAAGAGTTGGGAACACTGGAGAGGCAAAAAGGAAATACAGTTATTCGTTACTTCATTTATTAACAAGACACATAGCTCTTGCTCTCTAAGGTGCAGTAAAGCTCCCAGGTCACTGAGAAGCAGATATGCACTGGACATATTTTTGCCCCTGTGGCTTATCCAAAGCCCAGACAGATTGAGAAAAAAATGTCAGAGATAAAATTGGAATTTCTACAAAATCCTGACGCTCCCCCCCCCACACACTTTCTGCAATCACAAGACAGCAGAGTCTCAAATTATTAAACAACTTCTCTGTGTTTAGAGAAGCACTTAAAACAATGTGAGACTTAAAACAACACACACCATATCAAGGATGAACACTTAACTAATAAATCGCTTGCTATTATAACCTGTGAACAAACAACACACCACCCTCTTTGTAACACAGGTAATATTTAATCAATCATTCTAACAGGTATGGACTATGTTCTTTTACAGTATCATAGTTAAAGCATTCAGTGTAGGCAGCTGCCATGAAGGTCCGTGTCCAACAAAACACGAGCTTCAGAAGATCGTACCCTGATCAGTGCCACACAGCTAGAGACAGGGATTTTCTTGATTCACCAGCACACAAATGCAGCTAACCAAGGGAGCTGCAGTCACTAGTATACAACACAGAAGGTAGCTCACTCATCAGCTTTGGCTAGCGTGGGGAAAAGACACATTTAGAGTCCCAGGGCCACCACAAGATGGCACCACAGGAACAACTACTGAGCAGGAAAGCCACGCTAAAGCTGATAAAAAGCTATAGCAAACAAATGAAAGGTCGCTGTAACTTGTAGCACCACTCAGGCACACAGAAGCGAGTCCTACAAGAGGAGAACTAATCAGAAAGGCTTGTCTAGGGATCATACATCCTTGATTTGTGGGGTTAGAAGGACAGGAGGAGAGGGATGATTCTGGGAAACTCAAGTTCCCTTTTTCTGTCTCGTCTCTGTTCTGGGTTTCTGTGCTGTCTGACATCAAGGGGTGCAACGCCAGGGCAGCATGACACATAGCCAAACCCCAGGATTACATACATCTTCTATGTAAGAGCAGAGAAACAGTGAAGAAGAAAACAAAACAATACACAGAAGATTTACATAGCAAAACAAGCAGTTCAAATTGTATGAAAAGATGCAAATTGAAGCCCACAGCCAGGAACCAGAATTCAGTAAAACTGGCATAAACAATCCCCTTACCAGTCAAATGCCCAACAGCAGTGCTAACCCTGACACAAATAAATGCAGTAACTGACACTCATCGCAGCACTGTGCTAAATGCTGCAGGAAAAAAAACACAAAACAGCGTCCCTTCCTCAAAAAGGTGACTGTCTAAATAGCTTCCCCCACATACACGTACACATGGAGGAGAAACAGCGAGACAACCCTTGTTTGCTCAAGAGGCAATACCTTTGGTGCATAAGCAATCTGACAGTGTAAGAAATGACCGTTTCCTACCACAGTCCAGCCTGTAAACTGAGTAGTGCTGCTTCTCCTTGTGGCGTCTTTGCAAATGGCTGCAGTGCTGAGCTCAGCACAACCGAGACTGGTTTCTTTTAAAAGTGAATTACAGGATGGGGGGGGTCAGGGGAAAGGGAAAAGGCAACAGAAGTATTCAGCCACAACAAACCCTTGCAACAGGAAACCCAAGCTCACCCATCTCCCATATACTACCCATGCAAAGTGTTGTACAGCACCCAGTAACCCTTTCAGCACCCACCGATAGTCCCTGGCATTAATAGGAGATGCTGCTCAGCAACGTAGCACGAGGTGAAACTTTCAGGAGATGCAAGGTATATAATGTTGATGAGCCCATATGTATACATCTCCCTTTGCCAGAGATAAAGGCATTTCTTACCTAGTCTTTCAAGAAGCAGAGACCTGTTTGTGCAGGAAAACGAATCAAAGTTTGCTATTCCACACTTTGAGCCCACTTTACAAGTGGATAATGCTAAGCCACAGAAGACACTCTGATGTCTTAGTATTCACAAGGGGAGCTGGTGTGAATTTAATTATTCTGCTGTCATTTTCAATAGCTTCTCCACATATACACTTCTTATAATGTGTAGATAATTACAAATGAAAGTAATTTTCATACATGAAACAATGACAAACTGAAAACAAGGCAATTCTTTTTTTATCTTTGTGTTTGGCATCTGAGCAATTATTGTAACGCACGGACTGGGAATGGAATAGGATGAAACAGAGTTTTCTGATTTTATTTTTCGTCTGCAGAAATGAACAACAAACCACAGAGACAGCAGCAGGATATAGAAAAGTTCCCAAGTAAATCCATGCTCTGCACAAAGCTGTATTTCTTTACTTTTTTTAAGTAACTAAAACTACTAGTATGGCTTCAAAGATTGTACCATGCAGTTCAGACAAGAATTGATTGGAGTCTTCAAGATCAGCAGAGCAAGTAGCCCAGATTTTGCTGTTCAAATTTTAGCTTCCGAGACTGATAGTAGATTTTAAGTACGATCTCCTGCTTTTAAAACAAACAAAAAAAACCCCACCCCAAAAGAACCAAACCCCCCCCAAACAAAGGGAGAAACCCTTACCCTCCAGGGCCATGATACTCTTAAGCACTGACAAAACCTCTCCAACCTAAAGTGTCCTTAACTTTTAGAAAAGCCAGTGTCTCCCAGTAGATAGTCACTGAAGAACCTGATAGTCCTCTAAAGAAGCAGCTGTCCTGTGGGACAGCCACAGCAGTAGCTAAAGGTTTGGAAGAGCTATTGTTCTTTTAACAGAATGGAGCACTTCTGGCCCAGGTAGACCTGCCTCCTTTCAGCCTGGATCAATAATCAAATCAAGAAGCAGAGGTACAAGTCAGACATGAACTTTTAGCCATTCCATGCAAAGAGACAGGGTAACAACACATGCTGTGAAGTGTTCAAGCTCTCAAGTCAGAGAGGTCTTCAGAGAAGGGAGAAAGAGCTGGCTACTAGAAAAAACAAGGAAGCACAGTCTGTTTGTCTCCCCCCAACAAGGGACAGGAGGAGTGAAGAAACAGTTTTACTAAAAATACCTCTCTGAGGGTTAAGTTAAAATTAAACATTTGTGCAGTCAAAAGAAAACAAGCAAACACAATGCAGTGACATCAGTTTCCTGGAGTTCCTGGAATTCTCCTTGCCACCCAGAGCCGGGACTGGCCAGGGATGCTTGCATGCACTCACAAACACTTCTGTGCTTTAAAACAAAAATCAAGTGTGGGGATAATGCTTAAGATTTGTTGGATATTAATATTGCATCAATGCTTGGAGATATCTTGATCCATTTTGATACTATAACCTTTTTCTGAGAAAAGCTACAGCTAGGTTTGCAATGTCACCCCAGCTCTCAGGCATCCTAACTTACTGCTGTGATCCACGCTTACCATCCATGCAGGCAACCTTAGCTTACAAACAACTCAAGCTGATTTGGGTTAAGCTTGTCTGTTACAGAAGAGGACATTTTGGAGAGGAAGCAAGTGTTTTATACCATTGAAAAACACACAGAGCACATAAGCAAACCAGCTGCAGCTATCCACAGTCTTAATCCCATGGCACCATGGTTAATGCCCCAAGTCCAAGAGATCTTCAAGACCCACTAAGGATTCAGCATCGCAACTTGAAACACTGACTGCAGGCAGCCATTGAGCCACAGTTCCCCAAATACCACACTGACACTCAGCTTTAGAATGAGACTACAACCACGTGCTGAATCACATGGGCCCCCTGCAGCATGTTTTCCATTTAATACTTAACCCTTCTTCAGCTGGCAGGCCATGAAGATGTGGGCTGAATGTAGTTTCTGCAATACCTTCACCCTTGTAATGGGCTGAATGCCTTTTAAACACAGCTTAACTTCTGGCTATTGAGAACACAACAGGTCTTTGTAGCATAACGATTCGCTTTCAACTCCTGCCAACAAGAATCCAGCCTCTTAAGTTCACAGCACTTTCTAACAACAATTAAGTCTTTAAACACCAACTATTGGAGAACACTTAGAACTTACTGCACTTCTGCTTGAAGGTCCCGAATCAGTTTGCTTTAACTAAAGAATCAGAGTGCAAAAATAAGATGTACCACTGTGTGCATGGTGTACCCGCACCCAGGATGCTGTGTGTTGCTCATCTCTTCTCATTTCAAAAAAAGAATACAGCAGCAGATCCAGAGAACATACTGATGAGGATAACTAGGATAATCAGAGATATGGAACAGATTCCATAGAGGAAACAAGTTGTTTAAGACAGAAGCTGAAGTGCAAGGTGACAGAGCCTATAAAAACAAAGCCAAGAAGAGGTGTTCTCTTCCAACAGAAGAGATGGTGAACACAAAGTGAAACCAAGCAGCACATGCAAAACAAGAGAAACTGCTTCTACGTTTTTAGTTATGCTGTGGAACGACATGGCTGATGCCAAAAGTCTATGCGAATGCAGAAGACCATCATACAAATTCTTGGGGAAAGGAAGAAAACAGGGAATCCATCACGGGCTTTATTAGACAGATGATCAGGAAGTCCCTGCTCCAAGAAAACGGTGGAGGCAGACTGCATGTAAGTTAGCATTACTGTGTATTTTCTGTGTTGTTGCATTACCCCAGATACTCATCTGAGGCAGAATACTGGGCTACAGGGATCTGTTGCCTGTGCACACTGAGATTTGTATGTAAAATCTCAAGACTCTCTCAATACTAGCCATGTTTTACAGACTGGCCGGGGGGGGACGGACGGAAATGAAGCAAGTGGTTAAATCATATATTTAAGGTCATATTACAAATCTACAAACAAGCTGGGAACAGAAACACTCCTGAACTCCAGTACCAATCTCCCCAGAAGGAAAGGCAGTACATGAACGCAAGAAAGTTTTGCTACCAATTTCATTTTTTTCTGCAAGAAAGATATCTGTAGAGATCAAGCTAGAGAGGCTTAATTTAAGCCAGGTATGTGGATAAAGCACCTATCCTCTCTATGACAAAGAGGAAAGATTACCTGGGATCCCACATAAAATTG